TTTGTGCTCCAATGAGAATCTAATGCTGAGGGACTGTGTTAAAGAAACGTCTCTTCCCAGTTCCCTTAGGAGAGGGTTTCAAGTGCAGGAATTTTCCGGCTCCTCCCCTCAGGCGGCTGGAGCTCTTTGAGCACCTCCTCCACACCTTCCTCTGGAAACCAGAGGGGTTTCAAATGCAGGAATTTTCCTGGCTCCCCGCCTCAGGGTGCTGGGGCTCTTTGAGCACCTCCACGCAGACCAGGTAAAATTCTTTGTCTCATCTTACCTGGCTGAAAGCCAGGTAGGGCTCTTTGGTCCCAAATTCCTGCCAAAAGCTCTGGGAGGAGGGGCCTCTGTTACTCAGGGTTATAAAACAAGTAGCCAATCCGGTATCATAGTCAAAGATCAATCAATCCAGAGGAAGTTTGAAAGAACTCCTATCACTGGATGAGAACATGAATGGGGAGAGAATAACTCAAGGGTTAAAACTTCAACTGCTCCTACCTGAATGGATTTCCCTCTCTGGGTTCCCCTCCCACCACAACAGCGTGGGAGGGCCCCCCACCCCCGTCTGTCTCTCTGTTTGATAAATTACTGTTCCACAAAACTCTTTGGGTCCAGGATTTTATTTGGATGGAAAATTCACCACGCTTCCCGGGCCTCTTTCCCCATTCTTCGGGATTAGAGTGACCAAGAACGTACAAGCTGGATACTCCTCCAGTAACAGTGCCATTGCTGATCTGACAGGAAGTGGAGCTCAGGTAGTAACACAAGCAAAGGGGAGTGGCTATAAATACAGATGAAGCTTTGCTCACTTGCCCACTGCTCACCTCCTGCTCTGTGTTCCAGTTCATACTAGTTGTGGTCTGTGGCCCTAGGGTTGGGACCCCTAGCATAGTGAATTTAGGGCCCTGAGATTTTACTTTCCTTTCACGTATTTCAACAATAATGTGATTGTGATACAGTGACTGAGGATTAAAAGGAAGGAATGGATGTAAGAAGCATGAGAAAGTATGGCAGGACTTGGCACCTGGTTTTTTGTAGAGATGCCAGAAGGTTAGAAATCAGCTGAGCAACTCCTAGAAGTTTAGAACTGCACAGCTGGGAGGAAAAACAGAGTCAAGAGGGACCTTATGAGTTTGAAGGAAATTGTTTATGAAGTTCATTTTGATTGAGTTTTGTGGCACCAGATGTTTAAGTTTGCTACTTATCAAAAAGGTCAGCATTTGAGATGTGGGGGATTTTGAAGGACTCACCTTAAAGATGACTAAAATGAATGAAATTGTTAGGGAATAGAGAGAAGAGACCAAATGAAGAATATTGGGGAAGACTAGCCACTAAAGGACAACCAGAAAGGCATAATGTGAGTTAGCAAAGTTGCAACCACTTTTGGGTTTCTTCCTGCTTGCTGCACAAATGAAGACCACAGTATCGTAGTAAAGAAAGAATTTAACAGACACAGGCTTGTCATGCCACATGGGAGATGTAGTTAGTACTCAAATCATCTTGTGGGTTAGGGGTTTTCTTTTTTTGAGACAGAGTCTTGCTCTGGCACCCAGGAAGCTGGAGTGCAGTGGCACAATCTGTGCTCATTGCAACCTTCACCTCCCAGGTTCAAACAATTCTCCTGCCTTAGCCTCCCAAGTAGCTGGGATTACAGGTGTCCACAACCATGCCCAGCTAATTTTTTGTATTTTTGGTAGAGATGGGTTTCACCATTTTGGCCAGGCTGGTCTCAAACTCCTGAGGATTCAGGGTTTTTCAAAGGCCATTTTGGCGAAGTGGTTGGGGAGGCAAGGCTTGCTGCTGATTGGTTGGAGCAGAGATGAAATCATAGGGGGTGTAAACTATCCTCCGATGGGCTCAGTTGCTTCTGGATGGGACCACAGAAGTGGGTTTGGAAGATCTAGGTGAAGTCAGCAATGGAAAAAAAATCTGAAAACATATCTCAAAAAGCCAGTCTATAATAGTTATATTATTTGCAGGAATGGCTGACAATCTATGTCTATACCTTCGCAGAATCAGGCTCCTGTCTTCCCCCAGTTCAAGGCCTTTCATTAGCTTTACAAAAGCAGTTGAGTTTTGGGCAAGGCCTATTGTCATTTAAACTATAGCCTAAATGTCTTCCAAAGTTAGCTCAGCCCAATAGCCTGGTAATAATTAAAGGAAAGGAAAGATGGAGGATGTGTTAGCTCAGATGTTTTTTGCTGTCATAATTTTCTCATTGATATATTTGCAAAGTGAACAGAGATTTTCATGAAAAATAGTGTACCATCATAGTTAAAAGCATGGAGCTAGACTGCTATGTTCAAATCCCAGATCTGCCACAAGTGATTTAATTTCCTAGGCTCCTACACCTAAAAAAAACAGTTATAAGTAAAAGTACTTCATGGGGTTATTGTGAGGATTAAAAGTAAGGCATTTAGAAGAGTCTCTGAAATGTTCTTTGAACATCAGTAATATGGTTCAGATCCATATCCCAAATCTCATGTCAAATTTTAATCCCCAGTGTTGGAGGTATGGCCTGATGGGAGGTAGTTGGATCATGGGGACAGATTGTTCCCTTGGAGCAGTTTCCTGATAGTGAGTTCTCCTGCTGGTCATTTAAAAGTGTGTGGCACCTCCCCTTTCTCCAGCCATGTGAAATATTGCTCCCCCCTCCCCTTCTGCCATGACTGGAAGTTTCCTGAGGCTTCCCCAGAAGCAGACTCTGCCATGCTTCCTATACAGCCTGCAGAAATATGAGCCAATTAAACATCATTTCTTTATAAATTACCCAGTCTCAGGTATTTCTTTATAACAGTGCAAGAATGGACTGATACAATCAGCTATTGTTTAATGTTATTTGTTTAAGATAATTTTGGGAAAATAGATTCAGGAGAATTGTTAGGTCAGCTGCAACAGATTAAGGTCCATGTGAGTAGAAGCCTAATACAGACTGAGGTAAGGCAATTCTTTCAAAATGTGATGGAATTATGAACGAAAGAGAAATAGTATGGTAGCTTAAGAAGGGAAACAAAATTGAATTTTTTTAAATAAAGCTTTTGGAATGCTGGATGTGGCGGCTCATGCCTGTAATCCCAGCTACTCTGGAGTTTAAGGTAGGGAGATCATTTAAGCCCAAGAGTTTGAGACCAGCCTGGGCAATTTCTGGGGAGACCTCATCTCAGAAAAAAAAAAGATTTTGTTTTAGTGACTTCTGAATACCCCATAATACTTAAAGAAAATCATTTCAGTAATTTAGTCCTTAATAAACCCAGTAAATATTAAGTCACTTATTTTCAACCTTTAGTGGATTTTTCCAGTGGGTAGTATTTTGTATTCACCATAAAATGTGTTTGCAACAGTAAATGTTAATTGCAGTTTTGGTTGTTTATGATTTTTATTAGTGATTTGTTTCTTGCAAACTTAAAATCAAAAATGACTAACAGCTGTAAGATGGAAATACAAACATAAACCACAGTGAATTAATTGCAGGAATTTCAAAAATCATTTCCAGTATTTAAAATTTGGGGTTTTGTTTTTTCTTTTTATAAAAAGATGTACCTACTTTAAACTCCACTATTTAGATCATAGATAAATCTGTTTAGATAATCTAACCTTAGTATTTACCTTATGAGTTTAATGATGAATTTCAAGATGTTGGTATTTTTCAATGTCAATAAACATTTTTGACTTTTCCATATGTTCTTATAAGTGCCATGATATCACAATTTTATTTTTGTTAAATTGTAGAAAAATTTTGTTTATTAAAACAGTTGGAACTTTAGAATATTTTAGTTTTGAATGATTATTATTTTCTTTTATCTTTAAGGACTTCATGATCTTTGATTTTCCTTTGTAAATGTTTCTGGTTTACAAAGCATTGCATGTATATTTTTATCATTCAATCTTCATAGCACCCTTGTCAGTGTTGTCACCCCTCCCCTTTATAGGTGAGGAAGCAGGCTCAAAGAGGTGGTGACTTGCCCAAGACTATAAATGGAACTGGGTTTCCAAGTCAAAGTTCTAAGACCACTGATGGTTAACCCTTATTATTAAAATCATTCTGTCATCCTCTCTCTACTCATACTATGATCTTCCCTCTTTTTGTGCTCAAAAAAGTAGCAATTTTGCTTTAGGTTTCCAGATGTGTCATTTTAGAAATTGACTAACTTTCCCGTAAAGCCCTTGTTTGCAACCTGCTGAGATCTTCTACCTTCCACCACTCCTCAAAGGGACATTTGTCAGTTTCTGGAGAAACCGTTGACTGTCAAAACTGTAGGAGTGGAGGGGAGGCTGGGCATAGTGGCTCACGCCTGTAATCCTAATACTTTGGGAGGCTAAGCCTTGGAGGATTACTTGAAGCCAGGAGTTCAGTATTAGCCTGGGCAAAAAAGTGAGACCCTGTCTCTACAAAAAATTAGCTGAGCACAGTGGTATGTGTCTGCAGTCCCAGGTACGTGGAAACCTGAAGCAGGAGAATTGCTTCAGCCCAGGAGTCTGTGGCTACAGTAAGCTATGATCATGCTGCTGCATTGCAGCCTGGGCAACAGAGCAAGACCTTGTCTCTTCACAAAATAAAAAAGTAACAAAAACCTGTAGGGGGCAAGGGATGCAGGTGTTACTGACAACTAGTGTGTAGAGACCAGGGCGCTACTAAAAGATGTACAGGGCAGCCCCTACCACAAAGAATGACCTGGCCCACAATGCGAAGGGAGCCAAAGTTGAGTAATTCCACTGTGAAGAGTAAGACTTTATTTACCCATTCTTAACCTTGAAATCCAAACTCTCCATTTCTTCTTGTATATCTGTAACGTTATTCTTTCCCCCTTGCCCCCCAAATTATTTAAAATCTTGTTTTTGAGGTATTTTAATGTAAAGGTGATTATCTTTCATAGCCTAGGAATTACATGGTATATTTTGGTATTGTTGTTAAAAATTTACATTAATACTGCTTTAAAAATGTTATGGATAGAGTTTTCTGAAGAATAGTTTATGTGGCTGGCTGGGAGAAGAAAAATAAGATCAAAGCACAAATATTTCATTTCAAACCAACATTTTTAATGAAATTTTCCCTGTTTTCTAATTATACTTATGTTGAATGCCAATAAAAAAATACATAAAGAACTCTGAACTTTTATGTAGAGCTTTCAGTTTCTGTCTGTTTAATTTGATGCTCTGCTTATTCGGCTATACTAGATGTGTTTCTCAGAGTTATCCAGTCCATATGTATTTGAAGAGACAATTTGGTGTAGAATTGATAGTGTCAGGCTCTTTCAAGCAAGGTCTTCCAAAGGAATATCTCAAAAATATTCCTTAGAGTTGAGGTGGTAATGTTATATAGCCTAACAATTGACATGCTATTAAAAGCTTATAATAACTGGTCATTAAAATGCAAGTTACAGATTTTACATAAACACTACACATTTTTACAGAGGTTTTATAATCAGGTAATAATTAAAAAACAAAAAAAAAAAAAGCATATGCTATAGCCCACACCAGCCCTTAAGAGTAGCATCTGTCAAGTTGGTAATGAACATTTACTGAAGGCTTTAAGAAGTTACTTTTAAACATTAAAGACAGATTCTAAGACATGATAAGGTAATTTCAATAATATTATATCATACTTCAAGATGATTACAAATATTACAGTACTACCCAAGTTATTAAAGAAATAATAAGAATAGTATAATGTACTCTTCACATTACTGTCTTTATTTTTTTTGTTAATTTTGATTTTTATTTTTGAAAGGGAGTCTTGCTCTGTCACCCAGGCTGGAGTGCAGTGGCACAATCTTGGCTCACTGCAACCTCTGCCTCCTGGGTTCAAGTGATTGTCCTGCCTGAGCCTCCCAAGTAGCTGGGATTACTACCCGCCACCACACCCAGCTAATTTTTTTTGTATTTTTAGTAGAGATGGGGTTTCACCATGTTGACTATGATGGCATGATGGTCTTGATCTCTTGACCTCATGATCTGCCCGCCTCAGCCTCCCAAAGTGCTGGGATTACAGACATGAGCCACCATGTCCGGCTTCTGTCTTTATTAATTATGTTTTTCTAACAGCAAATGAAAGAGCACAAATTTTGCCAAGTCAGGCATTCCATTTACAGTACAGTTCTTTTTAAAATATGCTTGATAACAAAGTGTTAAATACTGAATGTCTTTTTAGTTATGAAGAAAAGAATGGTCAAGCATGAGATTTATGTAAGATCATTTGTACAAAAAAAAGAAACTGCAATAGATGCTTGTTTCTCTTAATCCTTTTGTATCAATAGTTTGGCAAAATTCTGTTGAAATTTCTTGTCATAAAGTAAGTCAGTGGACTTACCACATGAGAATAGATATTTGCTTGTATATATAATACTACCATTATTAATAGAGTTCAAGTATTCCAAATGTAAGGATTTTTGAATCTTATATTAAATGGGCATTACCAGTTACTGATTATTACATTCCAAAGTTCCCAAGTTGAACACTCATTCTGCTCAAAACACAGCGAAATGTTGCAGGTTGCATTTCCCAGTATTTCACTGGGTTGTTGAATAAACTTATTGCACTGTATAAAGATTTCTTCATCTTTGGCACTGTTGGACAGAAGTCATTTACTCCCACTCTTGAAATTGAATTAGAATGAAGGAAGATTATCTGTTGTAGTAGGAAAAAAGAAAAGGTTAAAAATACCCAGTAAATGTTAATGGAAGATACTCTGTAGTCGCCATTTGTTTGTGGGTTTATTCATCTGTTTATTTTACATTGGCTTGAATGTATTTTCAGGTAAAGTAGATGTACTCACTTATGCATGTTAAATATCTATTATAACAACTCAAGCTCATGTGTTGTACATGAAAGTGTTGGGGAAGGTCTTCTGCCAAAGCCCGGAGCATAATGCCTGGTCAGTTGGATCTCTCGGTTCCCCTCTCTCTCTCTCTCTCTCTCTTTCTCTCTCTCTCTCTCTCTCTCTCTCTCCCCCCTCCCTCCCTTCCTCTCGATAGATAGATAGATATAATGTTTACTTTTATATATACACATATATACATGTTTTTACATATACATATTTATGTGTATATATACATGTACATTAGTGCCATATTTATAATAATGCATATAAAACATTAGAAATGATCAGAACACTGAAATGTAATGCTCCAAGAGTTAGGCTCACAATATGATTGTGAGGAATTATTAGCCGGCATTTTCTGTGACCAAGGCAAAGAAGAGTAGAACTAAATTTTTGTAAGTTGTTGCTTTTTTTTTTTGAGACAGAGTTTCGCTCGTTACCCAGGCTGGAGTGCAATGGCGCGATCTCGGCTCACCGCAACCGCCGCCTCCTGGGTTCAGACAATTCTTCTGCCTCAGCCTCCCAAGTAGCTGAGACTACAGGCGTGTGTCACCATGCCCAGCTAATTGTTTGTATTTTTAGTAGAGATGGGGTTTCACCATGTTGACCAAGATGGTCTTGATCTCTTGACCTCATGATCCACCAGCCTTGGCCTCCCAAAGTGTTGGGATTATAGGCATGAGCCACTGCACCCAGCTGTAAGTTGTTTTATAGAAAGATCTATCAACATCTTATATGCATATTTGTAATACAGCATCAATAGTTGAAATCACTTAATTTTATGTACACCAATGGACAAGTCACAATTTTATAGGCTGTGTGCATGTCTTTTTAAATTAAATTCTTACTAAAAAAGTATGATAAATAGAGGGACTTTGCTTAATTCCCTTTAACAGCCCTTCTAATTCCTTCTTTGGCCTTTTTTGGTAACAGTGAGATTTCTGGGAAATAAAAGCAGTCTACTTAACTGACAGCATTTTGGCATGCTGAAGAGCAGAAGCCTTTAGCTGGCCAAAGTGGGATATTCTCTCTGGCTGTTGTTACTTCTAGATTCTGCCTTTGTATCTTAGTAAGACTGATATGAGTCCAATCAAGAAAATTCTAGGCATTGCTAAAACATTTAAGTTTGTGTTGAGTCCCCAGCTGCTCAATAGCAGTTCAAGGTATCGTTTGCCACAGCACCTATCTCACTGGGAATGAAAACCTGCTGGACATCAGTGTATTTACTTTGTGGACATTCATTGAACTGTATGCTTATGACTGTGTTCTTCTGTTTGTGTTATAATTCTCTTCATTTAATTAATGCTAGCAAGAGTAGAGGTAGATTTTAGAGAGACCAGAAGCTGGAAGCAGAGTTGTAGAGCAAATTAAGCAGAAATGACATCAGGGATGGGACAGCTTGAGAGAGGACAGACTCAAGTTGTATTCACTGGCTAAACAGACATTCAAATGCAGCATTTGGAAAAGTCAAAGCAAAAGTTGTCATCTTGAGATTAGCACCTGCCTATATTACATTCATTTTGATGGCTTGTATCTCAAAGAAGTACAGTGAACGAACCTTGTTTAAAGATCAGAAAGAAATATGGAAGAGGCAAAGTGGCTTGATGCCCAGTTTTGTTCTCAAGCTCCTTGGAAGATAAAAACTTTTGTTCTTGGAATCTTGGCGAATTGAAAATCTTTATTTGATTCGCCAAGGAATCTATGACCCCTCCCAGACAGTTAAGAGTTGTCAAATTAGGCCAGGCACGGTGGCTCAGGCCTGTAATCCCAGCGCTTTGGGAGGCTGAGGTGGACTGATCACCTGAGGTCGGGAGTTCAAGACCAGCCTAACCAATATGGAGAAACCTCATCTCTACTAACAATACAGAAAAAAAAACACTAGCCGGGTGTGGCGGTGCATGCCTGTAATCCCAAATACTCGGGAGTCTGAGGCAGGAGAATCGCTTGAACCCGGGAGGCAGAGGTTGCTGTGAGCCGAGATGGTGCCATTGCACTCCAGCCTGGGTAACAAGAGTGAAACTCTGTCTCAAAAAAAAAAAAAGAGTTGTCAAATTAGAAGGAAAATATTTCTGGCCGGGCGAGGTGGCTCATACCTGTAATCCTAGCACTTTGGGAGACCTAGGCGGGTGGGTCACCTGAGGTCAGGAGTTCAAGACCAGCCTGGCCAACATGGCGAAACCCCATCTCCACTAAAAATACAAAAATTAGCTAGGTGTGATGGCAGATGCCTGCAATCCCGGCTACTCGGGAGGCTGAGGCAGGAGAATCACTAGAACCCAGGAGGTGGAAGTTGCAGTGAGCCGAGATCGCGCCATTGCACTCCAACCCAAGGAAAAAGAGTGAAATTTTGTCTCAAATAAAAGAAAAAAAGGAAAAGATTTCTGATCATTAATAACAACAAATGACAAAATGGGAACTCATGATGCTCCAGATGGTGACTTTTAATTGTTTATATACTGTATTCTTGTTGGAATGCTTAAAAAATATATACATATCTATCCTAGCACCACACCGATAGCGAAAAAACTGGGAGCCTAATCCTCTTGGCTTTGCTTTGAGAAATGTTTCCAGAACAAAAGGATATATGACCCTGCTCGATGTCCTCCTAACTAGTCCTGCCTCTGCATAGCCACTACTACCCTAGAAATCTGAAATTACTGTGCCAGTGGCTTTGCCACAATGTCCTCAGCAGTTTCAACAGGAGAAACCAAAAGATGGAAATGGATCCTGAGCTTTCAGGTGACATCAATGTAGAAACCATTCTTCTAAAGCTCTCCTACTTCTTACAACTCCTCATGCAACCTGGAAAGTCGCTATGTTTGAATCACTGCTGCTTACTTTATCTTTGCTTTGAGATATGCTAAAGAGTGTTATAAAAACTAAAGAAAAGTGCTAATATCTCCTGAACACAAGTAGAATGTTTTACCTGGAGGTATTTCAACTCTGGTAATCCTGAAGGGATTTTTTTTAGTTTATTGTTTTCCAAATGTATTTCTCTCACACGTGGTATGTTAGCAAGACTCCCATTTTCAATATCTGTGATTTTGTTGTTTCCTAGGCCCAGCCTATAAATGATATAAAATGCATCAAATCTTATATAGATGGTTAAGTGTGATAAAGTTAGCTGAACACACCACAAACTAGTGAGAATATTAATGCCTGTCCTATTTTTATATATGTTCACACAAAGATATTTAGTAACCTATTAATAATCTATTTCAGTACATAACAACCATCTCCCAGTTTTGTCAGAAAATTCTTTAACCTAAATTTAACAAAGGAGAAATTTGAAAAGTCATTTTCTTCTTTTCACTTGGTTTACCCCTCCCATCAGTAGAGGCCATAATAATGGTGGTTCTTTCTAGTTTTCTTTTCACACTCTCCAGTTGTAATAGCAACTGGCTTAACAGACAGTGATATCTACTAGGGTCCCTATGCACATTCTCCAGGAGGTATCGTTCTAAGTTAAAATTTTGGGAACTTTTACCTTTGCAGTTCTTTGTATCGTTTAAAATCCTCAAGTTCCACTGTTGAAATTTTATTATAATCTAAATGAAGCTCCAGTAAAGTTGATGGTAAGCCTAATAAGAAGAGAAAGATATATGTTGTCAAGTATAACCAAGCCCCCCATTTGTTTACTTTTCAAGTTTCAGACTATGGATTTCAGCAACATTTTAGGTACCTACTTTTTTTTTTTGAGACAGAGTTTCACTCTTGTTGCCCAGGCTGGAGTGCAGTGGTATGATCTCAGCTCACTGCAACCTTTGTCTCCTTAGTTAAAGGGATTCTCCAGCCTCAGCCTCCTGAGTAGCTGGGATTACAGGTATGCACTACCATACTCGGCTAATTTTTTGTATTTTTAGTAGAGACAGGGTTTCACCGTGTTGGCCAGGCTGGTCTCAAACTCCTGACCTCAGGTGATCCACCTACTTTGGTCTCCCAAAGTTCTGGGATTACAGGCATGAGCCACCGTGCCCGGCCTGGTACCTACTTTTTATTAACTTCTTATTATAGGAAAATTGTAGCCATTCATAAAAATAGAAACTAGTATTATGAACCATCATGCTCAGCTTCAACAGTTATCTCCATTTTTCCTATCTTTCATCTACTCTATTATTTATTGACCTTTTATCTGTTTTTATTTTGCCTTTTTTTTTTGCTGGAGTAAAGTCTAATCGTATACAAATCATCATTTCATGTATAAATTCTTCAACTAGAAGTCTCTAACTGATAAGGTCATCTTTCTTTCTTTTTTTGGTTTTGTTTTATATGACCACTCTGTTAATATCACATCTAACAAAAATTAATTCTTTACTATCATCTAATATAATAAAGTTACCCCCGTTGTCTCAAATGTCATTTTACAGTTGATTTGTTCGAGTCAAGATTAAATGAAGTTTAAAGAATATATTTGATTCTCTCTCTTGAAATCTCTCTCTTTTTTTTTTTTTTTTTTTTTTTGAGACCAAGTCTCGCTCTGTCACCCATGCTGGAGTGCAGTGGCGTGATTGAGGCTCACCATAACCTCCCCCTCCTGGGTTCAAGTGATTCTCCTGCCTCAGTCTCCTGGGTATCTGGGATTCCAGGCATCTGCCACTGTGCCCAGCTAATTTTGGTCTTTTTAGTAGAGACAGAGTTTTACCATGTTGGTCAGGCTAGTCTCGAACTCCTGACCTCATGATCTGCTTACCTCGGCCTTCCAAATTTCTGGTATTACAAGCGTGAGGCCCTGGGCCCAGCCTGAAATCTCTCTTAATGTATAACATACTCCCTCCTTTTATCTTCCTCTTCTTTGATTTATTTCCATAATAATTTGTTTGAGACACTCATTTTGTGGATTTGGCTGACAGCTTCCATATGATATCATTTATCAGGATCCTTTAACTTCTTCCTATGACCTGGTAGTCTCATCCAAAGATGCATACAGATAGAAGTAATCAGCCTCCTAGGGGTCTTAGCATTCATGCATGATTGCTGCCTAGATCCAATCTCCCATTAGGAATTGTAAAATAATGACTTCCTGGTATCATTCTTTATGGATGTATTAGCTGGAATTCTTCTTTAAATAATTTTCTTTCATTATTTAGTTACTATGTAAGATTATTTTCATAGAAAAGGTAGCAAAACTTGATTCTTTCAAGTAATGAATTTGCACAGTGCCCAAAGGTGACCAGTTAAAGTTTTGTGTGTGTGTGTGTGTGTGTGTGTGTGTGTGTGTGTGTGTTTTAAACACCATTATAGGCTGGGCATGGTGGCTTACGCCTTTAATCCAAGCACTTTGGAGGCAAAGGTGGGCGGATCACCTGAGGTCGGGAGTTCAAGACCAGCCTGACCAACATGGTGAAACTGTCTTTATTTTATTAAAAGAAAGAAAAAAGTAAACACCATTATAAACACACAGATTTTTACTCTGTTTGATATGTTCAGGTCATTGCAGTACTTATTCTTTCTTTTTTTCTGTGGCATAGTCTGTCTGTCACCCAGGCTGGAGTGTAGAACTGCTGTCTTGGCTCACTGCAGCCTCGAGTTCAAGCGATTGTCTTGCCTCAGCCTCCCAAGTAATTGGGACTACAGGTGTGCACCACCATGCCCAGCTAATTTTTGCGTTTTTGGTAGAGATGGGGTTTCACCATGTTTGTCAGAGTGGTCTTGTGCTCCTGACCTCAAGCAATCTGCCTGCATTGGCCTCCCAAAATGCTGGGATTACAGATGTGAGCCACCATGCCTGGCTCTGTCCTTTCAATTAGCAGTAGTTTGTGTAAACTAAGAAGTGTATCTTCAGTACCCCTGCACATGGCAGGTGCCCAGTGAATTCCTTCTCTTCTCACGGGGACATATCCTGATCTCCACCCTCCCCAGATGAACTGAAGTTGGAATGAAAGGGACTGACCAGAACATTCCATCAAGCCTCATTTTGTTAGCCCTATATACAAAGTATTATTTGTCAACTAAACTATCTGGTTAGCTAGCTGGGAAATGGTTTCCTTTTTTCAACTCTCACTGAAATATTTCCTTTCTATATTAGTGATAAAGACTGATGAAAATAATTGAACTATCCTTATGAATAGCAATAATAATCTTCATGGCTGAATTTATTTTGATAACAGAATCTACTTTGAGTTTTGAAATAAACTAGTGAGCAGAAAAATAATTCTTCTAAACTGAGAAGGTTCTAATTTCTTGAATTGTGATTAATTGAGCTTAATTGTATTTATGGAATGATTATATGGACCCTCCAGTATGTAAGGTAAAGGTTCTGTCCTCAAAGACATTATATTCTAATTGAGCAGATCCATCATTTATACAAAAATCACTAGAAAAATAGCTGGTTTAATGTGCCACCTATTCTGGAGTAGGTTGTACAAGTCAGAAGGGAGAAATATCTGGGAGAGCACTTACAGAAGTTGAGTAAACTGTTGTGTCCCTTAGGAAATGAGGAAGGTGGGTAACCAGAGAGAATAGTGAAGTGCAGCCTCTAGGATAAACAAGCAGAGGTGTGAATTTGGCAGAAATTCAGTAACTGCTGACAAATGTTAGCACACTTTCGTACTGGAATTTTTTCCTGACAGAATTAAGCCACAGTTTTTTTTACCACACTGAGAATAAACACTAAGAATTAATGAACTTGTAATTTTCCTTGTTTTTCCTGTCATTTAGTAATTTATACCTGTCATTCTGTGAAGTACCTTCCCACCCTCTTCCCCACACAGTATCATTATGCAGGAGAACTTCCTGAATGAAAAGGAAAAAAGACATTTTCTTCCTCTCTGCATGATAACTTGTTGGGTCTGGTGAGGACCTTCAGGATATCTGTATCCTTTCATCTTGCCAGGTGCGGGGTGTGGCGGGGTGCGGGGGCAGGAAATACTGACTGGATTATGCCACACAGGCAGTCAGCTTTCACAGATTAGTGAATTCTGAATGTCAAAGGGATCTTAAGAAATAGTTATTTAAGTTGAGAGATTTGATTCCAATTTAAATTTCTAAAGATTTCTTTTGGCTTTGAAAGCATCTTGAAAACTTTCTGAGAAGCTAAACCTTCACTTTAAAGATACACTGTGAAATTTAAGGAGAATTTTGCAGTGTAGGAAAGACTTCTGGTATGAATATAAAGAATGGCCATGCCAGGAGGGAGCTGCTGCACCCTCCTTTAGTCCTGTTGGTCTCACCTCTCCTCCCTCTACCTTCTTCTCCTTGTCTTCACTCTCCTTTATTGAATGTCAGCTTCCAGCATATGAAAGGGATTTTATGTGTTTAACTTATTGGGTAGTATTTGCATTTTTTTGTTGTTTTTCTAAAATGGGAAGGTAAATGCAGCATTTTTTGTTTCTTGTAGAAAAACATTCACTTCCTTTAAAGCTAGACTAAGGTAGTTTTTTTTTTTTTTAATTTGTGTAGTTCTGAATTAAACTGTTGCCTTCCTGGATGGAAAAATTATCTTTCCCCTTTTACTTTAGATGATCTTTAGGTGACCTTAGTGAAAGGTCACCTCTTGATTAATAAAAACAGCTTTACTGTGTCTTTTAAATTATCTGTATATGTTTGTTTTGTTAATCTTCTGGATCAGGTGAGTAGATTAGAGAGGATTATGATGAAGTTGTAGCTTTAACTGGTGGATACTGAAAGACAGCTGTTGGAAAGTGAAAATATGTTTTCAATCATAGGGGTTATTTTTGACCCAGTTAGTCATCAAAGCAAAGAGAGCAGATGCCCTTGTTGGGAATAAGGAAAGCAAGACTTTGAGCATGAGTTCCAAGAAGGGCAATCCTATGCAGCTAATCATCAGACAGGGAGCTTGGAAGTAATGGGTTAGAACACTGGTCATCTGGCAGACTGAAGGAGCATTCTACTTGAGGTGCTAGCCTCAGGTCACACAAAGCCATGATAAAGAGCACAATGCTCATCTTGGTAATTATTATATCACAAGCGATCACTTCCTATGTGCTGGATGTTGTCCCCAAACCTTTCTATGTATTTGTCCATTAATCTTCACATTACACCTGGGAAGAAGCTGGGTACAAAATACCTTGTCTTAAATGGCATATCCATTCCTGCCAGCACCAGGGACTGCCCAGTCTGGCCACATAGGCTCCACCTCAAACTGTGGCTAAATGCCTGGAGACAGAGTCTCTTGTCCCATCTATCTTTCTTTGCTTTCTTCTGTACAGAATTTGCCACCTCTAACAGGTACTTCACAGAATGACATGTATAAATGAGTAAATGTCAAGAAAGAGAAGGAAAATTAAAAGTTCATTATTTCTTTGTGTTTATTTTTAGTGGAGTAAAAATAAGTGGATGGTTTAATTCTGTCAGGAAAAAAAGCACTACATATGGCATTTTCTGTGTGTGTGGGCTATATTGACCAGATTTACTGTTACAGGATTTCTAGTTGCAGTGTATACTTCACAGTTTACGATATTACATTTAATCGTTATTGAAAGGTGACAATTTAAAAATACCATATCTTAAATAAAGTAAGTACAAACCTTTAGGAACTGAGGTCAGTTTTGCTTCTGCAATTCTGATATGGAACACCGTCACCCCTTCAAATGCCCCTGGCTCTATCCCATTATTATCAAGAGGGTTTGCACTCATTTCTGTCGGGGGAGAATGACATGACTTAGCACACATAGGTTGTATATAAAGGAAACTCACAGTGCAGAAAGGTACATGCCAAGAATGAATACCCCAGGAAGCACGAGCTTCATCCTTTAGGCTCTTCTTTTTTGAGACAGAGTTTTGCTCTTGTTACCCAGACTGGAGTGCAATGGCACGATCTCGGCTCACCGCAACCTCCGCCTTCTGGGTTCAAGCAATCCTCCTGCCTCAGCCTCCCGAGTAGCTGGGACTACAGGCGCACACCACCATGCCCAGCTAATTTTTGTATTTTTAGTAGAGACGGAGTTTCACCATGTTGACCAGGATGGTCTCGATCTCTTGACCTCGTGATCCACCTGCCTCAGCCTCCCAAAGTACTGGGATTATAGGCATGAGCCACCATGCCCAGCTGACTTTAGGCTCATTTTTACTCAGTATATCTGCTTCTGTCTATCTGCTGTCCTTTCTGTCAGCATCAGAAAAATACTTCTTTGTATAATGTAAACTGCAATATATGAGAAGTTAACTATTATTTGCTTTGAATTACCAAATCAGTGACATTTTCACTCTCCTCCAACCATGAGCACAATTAAGATTTAGTTATAGTAGTATGGCATTAGAAAAAAAAATCATCCTTCATATACTCCAAAATGTTTATATTTTTCTGTGTACATTTTTGTGTCTTAAACTTTTTAAAAATTATAAGTCAATTAGAAATTGTTATTTTGTTAGCAGAAATATAACTTCGAAGAAATGCCAGTAAGTGCAGTCAGACACTTGATTGAATTAAATGAATAAATGAATGAGAATCTTGGTTAAGAATTTTGAATGGAGAGTATAGGGAAATGGCATGGTTATATGATGGGTGTTAGAAATAAAATCAGGTAGAGTTTTAAATAGAAGATGAAAAACTCCTCACATCAATAATCTTAAAGCAGATAACCAAACATTAGGTACACATTCCAAATAATATCCAAACTAATTTTGTAAATTATATTTGAGTAGCTTATGTAACACATTAAAATACTACCTTTAAATTAAATAAGAATAATGTAGATTTTATTAATCAGGATCTGGTCAGAAACAGAAACCAAGCTAAGTGTTTCTAAGGAGATTTGTGTGTGTGTGTGTGTGTGATTGAGTCTCACTCTGTTGCCCAGGCTGGAGTGCAGTGGCACAATCTTGGCTCACTGCAGCCTCCGCCTCCTGAGTTCAAGCAATTCTCCTGCCTTACCGCCCCGAGTATCTGAGATTACAGGCACTCGTCACCAGGCCCAGCTACTTTTTGTATTTTTGGTAGAGACGGGGTTTTACCATGTTGGTCAGCCTGGTCTCAAACTCCTGACCTCTGGTGATCCATTCACCTTGGCCTCCCAAAGTGCTGGGGTTGCAGGCATGAGCTACCACGCCCAGCCTCAAAGGAGGTTCTTGAGGGAGAGAGAGACAGTATTACAAAGGTCATATTTTCTTTAAGTGCTGAAAATTTTGTTGGGCATTTTAATTGGTTTATAAATGGCTTATCTAGGCAAAGATTAATATATTCAAAAATTAATTTTGGAAATTATTCTTAATAATGATAAAGTGTTCTACATCTGCTTGCTTATTATAATTTCAAGATGTCCCATTCATTTGAAAAACTTACCTAAAACGTGTAAAGCATTCATTCCTTTGAATGTGTCCTTTTGTATTTTCTTAACTTTATTTTCATGAATTCTGAGTTCTGCTAATGATTTGGGAAGATTAAGTGGTATTTCACTTAGTTGATTGTGGGATAAATATAGCCTTCGCAACTTCTTTGTGGTTAGAAAGGCTTTGGGGTGAATCTTTGTTAGCTTGTTGTTGTTCAGGATCAGACCCTTGATCAAGCATAGAAAGTTACACAATATTAGGAAGTGAATTTGGTTTACCAGTATTCTACAGAGATTAGCCAATCATGGAAATCAGTACATTTTATATCGTTCATGTACTAGATCACCCATGTAAAAAATTTCCCAGCCCAATCTAAACTTAAAAAATTTTTTTACTGCTGACTTAGAAAAGTGCAGAGCTGTAAGAGTTGAGGTTGTGCCTTTGGTTTAGATAGAGGTGCCTCTTTTTTATCTTTATAAAAGATAATACATTCATATGGTTAAGGCTTTAACCTCTACTCAGCCTCCTATTTCCCTTCAGGGAAGTGACCAAGGATATTATCTTTATCTTATCTTAAAATCTACGCTGCAAAACTATGTTTAGTGCTCACCAAATATATTTTTGAATGATTTTCTTCTATTTTGAAAACCTTACTTCTTGCATATTTACTAGTGTTTAGCATTTGTCTCAGAACAGAGACCTGTAAGGAAAAAACTCCTACCATGTGCCCTCACCATTCTGGCATATTTTAGATGTTGGGGAGATAGTAATGGATCCTGAGGAATGGCTCAATCTCTTACCGGTTTTTTGGATATTTCTCAGGGCGATAAGACAGCATCTTCCAGTGGGGGTCTAATTACTCCAGAGAGCAAAAGAGCTTGTACTAGCGTGAGTGTGCTTTCTGCTGTCAAGTCCTTTGCGACCTGTCCAAGGGTGCATGACTACTTGGGTGACCAGCCATCTCAGTCTGCCCAGATCATGAGATTATGGGATGTGGAGATTTCAGCACCAAAACTGTGAATGTCCTAGACAACCTGGTACATGTTGGTAACTCTGATAACTATTTTCATTGCAAAATGAACATAGCTCAGTTCTTTACTCATTGCCAGATTGTTCAGAGATAATTTTCTGTGTTTACTAAGAATGATGACAGGCCACTGAGCGTCTTCAGGATGTTTTAGTCCCTCTTTACCAACTCAGGTCATCTGATTTTCTCAAGGAGCAGCTCTAGATTCATTCATTATATGATTTTATTCTCAAACTCATTTCACAGAAATCTCCCTTTGTTTCCATACTGGTTTCATATGCCTCACTGGCACTGCTCACATTGTTGTTGTTTTTCCATGGCAGAAATACACATTTTGGTTGCTCAGTAAACTCCTTTTTTCTGCACATTTCCTCATCTTACTCTTGGCCCTTGTACTTTCCTTTACCCACCCTCCAGAAATTCCAAATATAACACTATTGCTAAAAGCTTCACCAAGAAAGGATAAGTCTAGTCAAAGAGGTGAAACTACGTTTTGTTACCAACTGGTAAAATACCCTAGTTTCTGAGTGTGTGATGCCAACCAAAAGTGTCTTTTCTCTTCCTTTGGTTACACTGAAAAATGAGGTGAGGGGAATTTAAAAACTTGGTGGATCATCAAGATGATTTGTGAATTCTCTCTTAACTCCATGAGGTAAATTTTGCAGGAATTATTACCCTCTGTTAGTGATAAGAAAAGGCGTAAAGTGAAGAAAGGTGACTGTCCTACAGTCACCCAACAAGTGAGGGTTAGCCTGGCCTGACCCCAAAGTGAACCTGTGCATCAGTGAGATCCAGGCTTTTGTTAGTTTGTTTTTCCTGGTTAAAACATGCAGTTGTTGGAACTGCTTAAAAGGAAGGAAAAGTAATACAAAACTATGTAAGAGGTTTTATGCAGCACTATTAATAGCTGCCCTGCATGGTGAGCTGGCTGAGTGATCCAGTTAAACAGCACTCTCAATGCTGGCTTGGTCATCACAGAGCCCCCAATTCATAATTAACAAACAATGTAAGGACAGAAGATGAGAAGAGCATAGGCATTCAGTAATAGGACAGTGATTCATGACTAATGTATCTGATAATGGCTGAAGTGAGCTAGGAGATCTATGATTTTGCTCTCACTGTATTATCCTTTGTGTAAGAACCCGAGTGCCAAACAAGCAGCTAAAATGTAACTTTGTAGACTATCTAAAAAATAAGCTGATTATCTTAAAAGACAGGTACCGTATTAGGTGATATTATAATTACATAAATTTTTTTTAATATATGGTATACCCACAATTCAGTATAAAGCATGTACTTTAAAAAGTGATTTCTATTAATACACCGGGTCAGACTGCTAATAGTAGCTTAGCAGTATTACTACTTAACAGTTGGGGGCTTCCCCACCATTGCTCTATACCTGACATGCATTTCTCAACAAAAAAAAATCAAGTAGGTCTAAGAAAGCTCCTGATACCTTTTAGATTCTCTTTTCCCAGTGAATAATAGGAGTACATATGGACTAAGTCCCTGGAATGCTCCTAAAATGTGATAAAATAATGATATGACAAATTTAAACCATTTATGGCCCCAGTATTAAGTATGTCATTAGTTATTCTTGTGGTTATGTAAGCTGAAAAGGGATTGAAGAAGTGGTAAATGCATGAATAGGCTATATTTCCAACTTCTGAAGGTAGAATAATGGCCTTGCCATTCTCTAAAAGATTCTGTGGCCTAAAGTTAGTGGGGTGGACTCAGTGGATCCTCAGTGGAATCCATTGTGTTATTTCTGACTGTCTTAATGTTTCAGTGAGACCTAACTTATAAATATATGCTCTTCTAGTTCTTCTTTTAGATGTATATATATAAGGCTTCAAGCCTTACCATATCTGAACTGTCTGCACACTTTGAAAGTGAAAAGGGCAGACAAGGTGCTGGCTACCTGGCAGTGCAATGTGAGTGCTAGATTTTGCAGGGAGGCTTGATGTGATGATTGAGCCTCCCTCAGTCTGCCTCACTCTGGGATTGAGGACATGCATGCTGGGAGGAAGCATGACTGGGAGGAAGAGATGGGCCAGCAGAATCCACTGCACTGACCCTATGCTGACAGGGAGGCATGGTGACCTCACATCTCTCAGATACACGAATAGAGCCAGGCTTGTGTGGTAGCAAGGGGCCAGTATGGTTATGGTATTTTCTACCCTGTTATCTTAGTTTTTTATCTTACCTACAGATGACAGACTTTAAATTTGCTTTCTCCAGCACAGCCTGAGAGTGTAGGGAAATGGCCTGGACTAGCCAGGTGTGGCTTACCACCTCAGATGATACAGAACCAGAGCTCTTCCTCTTAACACTATGCCAGAATCAGCAAGGCAAGGAACTGTGCTGAGGGGAGGTAGTGGTACTTCCACAGCTGTGGCAGGTGGATATGAGGTTCTCTTACAAACCCAATTTCAGACTAAATCAGAAATTTTACTTGCAAAAATTTAGAGACTTCAAAATGATTTCTTGGTTTGCTTTTGTTTTTGAGACAGGGTCTCACTGTGTCACCCAGGCTGGAGTGCCGTGGCATAGTCACAGCTCATTGCAATCTCCACCTCTCAGCTGAGACTACATGCACCGCCACCATAAAAATCAGCTGATTTTTGTATTTTTTTGTAGAGGTGGAGTCTTGTTATGTTGCCCAGGCTGATCTCAAACTCCTAGGCTTAAGTGATCTGCCCGCCTCGGCCTCCCAAAGTGCTGGGATTATAGGTGTGAGCCACCGCACTCAGTCCAAAATGTTAAACATGGAAGTAGTAATCTTTTAAATTCTAGACTTTTTTTTTTTTCCTGAAATGGAGTTTCACTTAGGCACCCAGGCTGGAGTGCTGTGGCATGATCTCAGCTCACTGCAACCTCCGCCTCTTGGGTTCAAGTGATTCTCCTGCCTCAGCCTCCTGAGTAGCTGGGATTAGAGGCGCACACCACCATGTCTGCTAATTTTTCGTATTTGTAGTACAGACGTGGTTTCACCATGTTGGCCAGGCTAGTCTCTAACTCCTGGCCTTGAGTGATCTGCCCACTTTGGCCTAAGTGCTGGAATTACAGGCATGAGCCATTGCGCCCAGCCTAAATCCTAGAATATTAAAATGATACTAATATAATAAAGAAAAAAATTATTTTCCTTTTTAAAGATCCAATAAAGAAGCCATACATGTATATATTAATCAAATATATTCTGTGTTCTGCTATTAGAGATTTGTGGTGTTTTAAGATAACACATTTGGATAGAGATTTCTTACACTGTTTGCTAATGATTGCTGTAAATAATTGTTTTCTTGTTCATTTTAATATATAGTGACTGTTATTACCTGAAGAGATTGTAAGCTTATTTGAATACCATTAAACTCAGCCCACTGCCTTTTACCTGGCTATTATTTAATAAACATCCATTGAATTAAACTATTAATTGAATTAAATCTATAATTTTTAATTGACTAGAACCCTGCTGAATGCAGGGACTTTTGTCATTCTTTACATACGTAAAAGTAAGACTTGTTTATACTAACATAGTAAAATTATTATTGCAAAGATATAGAGTTTTCACTTAAATCTTTGAAAGTATGATGATATATTCTTACATAAAGTGAAGTGAGTCCTTTAAAATCATTTTCTTTGATTTCCTTAATTTTATTGTTTTGAAGATCAAGCATTCGAGTATCAAATGGAATGTTGGTTGGAACTGAGGTCAAACCTGAAAAAGAAACAAACATATTATATAGTAGAGAATCATGCTTATCATCACCTTACAGATGACTTAACAGTTATAACAGATGACAAAAACATTGTTTTGAGGGAAGACCTCAGGACCTTTTTTTTTTAGTAAGTTATTAATTTTTATAAGGTTTCTAGATTGATCTAGCTGTCACCACTCATCCCTCTAAGGTGGAATAAAAGGAGATAAATTGGAGCTGCCCTGGTGCCTGTGAGGAGGTGACCAACCACTGAGGTGCAGCTTCTGTTAATGTTCTTTTGGCTAAGGAATATGAACTTTCTTTGCTAATTTTGAGGGTGTTATAGTGCTAAATTGGAGCATATGGGTCTTGATCATTTTAGTAAGCCTTAGAAAGTTGTGTTTAGAAAATAGAAAAATTACATGTTTTTTGTGTATATTACCAAAAACTACCACCCATTTCCTTTAAGTAATTAACTCATCTAATTAGTTGTAAATTCTTGATTTCCAAATACTGGTTCATACATAATTCTTTTCTTCTTTTCTTGAGACAGTCTTGCTCTGTTACCCAGGCTGGAGTACAGCGGTGCCATTTCTACTCACTGCAACTTCTGCCTTCTAGGTTCTAGTGACTCTCCTGCCTTAGCGTCCCAAGTAGCTAGGATGTGTACCACCATGCCTAGCTAATTTTCGTATTTTTAATAGAGGCAGTGTTTTGCCATGTTGGCCAGGCTAGTCTCGAACACCTAGACTCAAGTGATCCGCCTGCTTCAGCCTAGATGTCAGTAGACTTGATAGAACTGTCTTCACTCCTGAATAGTAGTCATATATTTAATAGCCACAAATTGAAGAATTGAAAAACTAATATTTGAATATCAACATTCTATCCTACAGCCCTACATACTTTTCCTTTCTATACTTTAAAATTAGGCCAGGCACACTGGCTTATACCTGTAATCCCAGCACTTTGGGAGGCCAAGGTGGGTGGATCACCTGAGGTCAGGAGTTTGAGACCAGCCTGGCAGGAGTTTGAGACCAGCCTGGCCAACATGGTGAAACCCCATCTCTACTAAAAATACAAAAATTAGCTGGGCATGATGGCGCGTGCCTGTAGTCCCAGCTACTTGGGAAGCTGAGGCAGGAGAATTGCTTAAACTCAGGAGGCTGAGGTTGCAGTGAGCCAAGATAGTGCCACTGCACTCCACCCTGGTGACAGAGTGAGACTTTGTCTCTAAAAAAATTAAATTGAGACTCTCTTAAGAAATTTAACTATAGGAAGAAGAAAGGGGGTAACTTGATGAATTAGCAAGGTAGAAGGGCAGTTTTGTTTGTTAGAATAGATTTTTTTTTTTTTTCCGGAGACAGAGTCTTGCTCTGTCACCTAGGCTGGAGTGCAGTGGCATGGTCTCGGCTCACTACAACCTCTGCCTCCTGAGTTCAAGCAGTTCTCCTGCCTCAGCCTCCTGGAAGCTGGGACTACAGGCACATGCCCTCATGTCTGACTAATATTTTGTATTTTTAGTAGAGACAGGGTTTCACCATGTTGCCCAGGCTGGTCTCAAACTTCTAAACTCATGATTTGCCTGCCTTGGCCTCCCAAAGTGCTAGGATTACAGGTGTGAGCCATGGCACCTGGCCCCTAATTTTGCCATTTTTATGAACACAGGAGATTATTTTGGTTTTAGAAAATGAAGTGGAAGTCTTGTAGGAACCTGGAGGTTCTGCAGAAGGGATCCTCCTGGTAGCATAGATTTTGACAAACCTACTCTTGCCCTGCCCCTGATGAAACTGAAGCTCTGAAAAAAGTTTCATCTCCTGAGGGAGGAAGAGTGATAAGTGCCCAGACTCTTTTCATGGTCATGTTGTGGGGAGGTAGGGTGGGTGCAGCAGCATGCTGATGGCATGTCTGACTGTCACAGATATCCTTAGATGGATTTTGTTTCTAGAGTTTTTTCAAAGCTGAATGTTTGGGAGACTGTGATGGGACCACCAGCTGCCTGCCATGAAGTAGCTTGGGTTTCTCAGGTCTTTGGTGACAAGTGTGTACTGGAGCAGTTTTATGCAATGTCTCATCCAGGGTCTTCATGTTGGAAGCATATGACTGCTCTGCTGTGGCACATGTGGAGGCCAGCATGTGGGAGTGGTCTGCACTAAAGGTAAATGTGTCCTTATTCACCTTCTTACCCCCGAACCAACCCAGTTTACATCCAGTGAGGTCACAGTGGATACACATATTTTTATCTGGAATTTTGACTTACAAAGTGCTTTAACATGCACCCACTCTGCAAAGTGCTAGTAGGTAATGTTTTTTCTTGTCTGGGATGCAGTTTAGTACAATAGTACATTCTGATATTCCCCAACTAATCTCTTCTCTCATTCAGCATCTGTCTTAGCTTCTGCATTTCTCGTTCCTGCTGCTCTTTCCACAGTCATTCTGCATAAACAAGTTTTCTCAAACAGTGCTTGTATCTTAAACTCTTTCTTATGAGAATTTCACAGGTAAAGCTTAAGATTCATTTTTTTCCTAGCTCATCTCCTTCCTTCCTTCCTTCCTTCCTTCCTTCCTTCCTTCCTTCCTTCCTTCCTTCTTTCCTTCCTTCTTTCCTTCCTTCCTTCCTTCTTTCTTTTTTCTTTTATTCTTTTCTTTTCTTTCTTTTGAGATGAGGTTTCACCTTGTTGATCAGGCTGGTCTTGAACTCCTGACCTCAGGTGATCCACCCGCCTTGGCCTCCCAAAGTGCTGGCATTACAGGTGTGAGCTACCATGTCCAGCCTCCTAGCCCATCTATTTCATTAGACTTCCCTCGTAAGTCTAGCTTGTATCAGTCTCCTCTTTTTCTGAATGCTTTATGTTTATCTCTCATTTTGTCATATAATGACAAACTTCATTAAGGTCTCTAGAGTAGATTATTATAAGCTATGACTCTTGCCATGAATGCTATGGCAGTAGGAAGCAAGTCTAATGCTTTTCAAGACATCTGATCATACAGATGCATGAGGTGACCCTGATGGGCCATCAGCCCCTGAGTGGGAGTTGTGTGCAGATCTTGGTCTCCATAGTAGGACCTGGGACCAGTCTCAGCTGTCCCTTCTTGGAAAAAGCTGAGGGCAACAACTCTTGATATGCATTCCTATCATGTCCCCTTCCTGAGCAGGATATGGGTGTGCTCTTGAGTGCTCCTTCGTTAGAAGTATTAAAGAAATAAAATACTCAGCAAAGAATTATAAATTTGAGAGAGACCTTATCTACTTTTTTCTTAGGCAGTTTTAAACCCAAATTGTTAAAAGGCAAGTAAAGCATTATTTTAAAAGGTCTAGATCAGAGATTTCACAAGCTTTCTATAACTCATTTCATTGTTCTGGACACGCAGCTTATTTTGTTATCATGGAGTTTTACTGAAAAGTACAGTCTCAACCTGCTAACACTTGAGATAGAACTGTAAGTGGTGTCCATTCTCTCTGAAGGGAATTAAAATGAAGTGCTTTGATTTAACTTGGGAAGAGGAAATGTTCTGTGTACAACATTCCCATAGTATTCCTCTGATTTTCTGAATTTTAAAAATAAATTTAAGGGCCAGGCGTGGTGGTGCACACCTGTAATCCCAGCACTTTGAGAGGCGAGGCGGGCGGATCACAAGGTCAAGAGATGGAGACCATCCTGGCCAACACGGTGAAACCCTGCCTCTACTAAAAATGTAAAAATTCGCTGGGCATGGTGGCGTGCACCTTTAAGTCCCAGCTACTCAGGAGGCTGAGGCAGGAGAATCACTTGAACCTGGAAGGCCAAGGTTTCAGTGAGCTGAGATCGTACCACTGAACTCTAACCTGGCAACAGAGCAAGACTCCATCTCAAAATAAATAAGGCCTGGCACGGTGGCTCACGCCTGTAATCCCAACACTTTGGGAGGCTGAGGAGAGTGGATCACAAGGTCAGGAGTTGAATACCAGCCTGACCAATATGGTGAAACCTCGTCTCTTCTAAAAATACAAAAATTAGCTGGGCATGGTGGCAGGTGCATGTAATCCAAGCTGCTAGGGGTGCTGAGGCAGGCAAATTGCTTGAACCTGGGTGGCAGAGGTTGCAGTGAGCTGAGATTGTGCCACTACAACCCAGCCTGGGCAACAGAGCAAGACTCTGCCTCAAAATAAATACATAAATTAATTAATTAAATAATTTGGATGTACTTTGGGATTTCGTATACTTTCCACCTAAGAACTTAAATGAAAAAAATCTTGTAAAAGCAATGAGATTATTTTTGAAATTTCAGTGAAGCCTTTTTCTGTCTTTTAAATTGTCAGAATAGCATTATTGTTCTTCAAAACAAAATTGGCTTATGTTCTTACCTAGATCTGAACAATGTACAACTCGTGAATAGCACTGACATCCAAATGGACACATTGGAAACAGATCAAACGGAAAAAAGGGGATTCTTGGCTCTCTTGTTGGAAAAAGAGAGTTGTCCTCATCATGATCATCGTCATTATCTGTGTCTTCCATATCCTTCAGCATCATATTCTTTAATGCGATGTGTGATGGGCTAAAGAAGGGTTTGGCAGAGCACAAAGCCAGGAATAATAGGAGCACATATTCCTTCATGTTATCTTAGTGTAGAAGACGAGTCTAGAACCAAACAGACATTGGATATTAAGTTAAAGTTTAAATGGATATAGTTCCTCCATGTCTACATTTCTCAGTTCTGGGAAGAGTACAATGAAATGGTATTTTTATCCATTGCTAGCTAATGTGAGAGTAAATTTATAAAGATTTTTGGAAAACAATTCAGCAGTGTGCACTGGAAACTATAAAAATATCTCTGTTTTTCAGATAGTGATTCTACTTTTTGCAATCTAGTCTCAGGAAACATTTCTAAAGTGCACAAATATGTTCATCACAGAATTATAATAGCAAAAGTATTTCAGACAATCATAATTGTTAAAGGGGAATTATAAAATAAAATAGGGTATATTTATTCCATGAAATATTTTGGAACCCACAAAATGCTTGCAAAGACATTTTAAAATATGGGATATTATCTTTTGTGAAATTATAAAAAAAAAGGGAAATACACAAAATCCACACACAGGATACTTACAAACACTCAGAAACAAACAAAAGCAAACCTGGCAGGAATATACCTGATTCATGATAAACTCTGGGCACCAGAACCATAGATGACTTGTGTTTTTCGTTTTCCTTTAATTTTCATAATGAGCAATGAGTATTACCTTTGTAATGAAAAGCTAATAAACATTTTTAAAAAACAGAACAGATTATCTTACCTAAGTCTGCATTCCCAAAATCCTTCCATTGCATTAATGTCTTCATTGTCCCTGAAGGAGGAATGTCTTCATTGTCTCCTTAGACAACATCTGGAATTTTTTCTTACCTGATTTCTCTCCACCTTTCCCAACCTCACCCTCATAGTTGGTCACTTCTTCCACAATTGAGATCTTTTTCCTTCTAATCTGTTCCATTGTCTAATACTTAATCCAAACTGTCTGATGTTCAGACTGTTCGTTCTTACCCTTCTTTCCCCTGAGTTTGTTTGTTTGTTTGTTTGTTTTCAGATGCTTTTTTATTTTTCAGATGGAGTCTCACTCTGTTGCCCAGGCTGGAGTGCAGTGGCACTATTTCAGTTCACTGCAGCCTCCACTTCCCAGGTTCAAGCGATTCTTCTGCCTCAGCCTCCTGAGTAGCTGGTACTACAGGTGTTCGCCACCACGCCCAGCTAATTTTTTGTATTCTTAGTAGAGGCGGGGCTTTACCATGTTAGGTTAGCCAGGATGGTCTTGATCTCCTGACCTCGTGATCTGCCCGCCTAAGCCTCCCAAAGTCCTGGATTACAGGCGTGAGCCACTGAGCCCAGCCTTTTTCAGTTGCATTTTTAAAATGCACACAAAATGAAAATACACAAATGAGAATCCTCAGAGCATAGATTTATTGCCATATTTACATATCATAATTTTTAAATTGTCACCTGTGAAATGTGTATGTTCTTTGAAAATTTCAAAAATTAAAAACATTATGAAATAATTCAAAATAGATGCATTCCAGAGATGCTCACTGGTGAAACCGAGTCCGGGCAGGAGGTTTCACTCACCACCACAGCAGGGGGCTCTGCAGACCCTAATAGTTCCAGGCTACAGTCAACAGACCTGTCATTGCCTGAGTGCCAGAGAGCAGCTGAGCTGTAGAAGATTTGCCCAGCCTCAGGAAGACTTACCCCTCCAAATCCCAACTGGTTACAATTTCTCAGAACCAAAAAATCAGCTTTAACATCTCCACACAGGCTTGCTTTTTCCTGGATTTAAGAATCAAGAATGAGTTCATTAACTTAAGTAATATCTTCATTTATATATGATATATCTTTTTAAATGACCAGATGAGGGCTAGAATATCCTACTGTCATTAGTTATTAACCTGATAATTTCTCATATGCTTTAAAAACCTAAATGAGTGGCATGAAATTTGCCCACTGGGTAGCTGGATGGCACCAGTCAGGTATGTGTAATATTCCTGTGATAATCCACACTAAGCTATGCTAGGAAGGAGATTACAGGACAGATCTGAAAATGAAAATGGCAAGAGCTTTTTATATTTTAATAATCCTATTCTGAATCCCATTTCAAAACTAGCACTAGACTCCCATCTGTACACTACTTTGTGGAGGTGTCAATTTAGATGTTATTCTAGACTCATCCTGATATTAAATAGGAGGAAATGAGACATAAAGAGCTTAAGTGACTTGCCGAAAGTCACCTACCAAATATAAATGGAGCCAGAGCTAGGGCTCATGTGTCCCAACTTCCTGTTCTGTGCTGCCTTCTGCTCCAGCTCATGTGGGGAGACTCAGTTGTCTTATCTAGAAATCTCATGGCTTCAAGGGCATACTCTGTCATTTCTTCTTATCCAACCAGTATACAAATTCCTGATCTTTATGTATCTGTACATAAGCACTTGTGTAGCTTGGATTGGAAGGGTAGAGAATAGAATGATTGGGTGGTCAGATTTGTGCAGTACAGGGTGAGAGATTGTGCTGGCAACACATGGTCCAGTGGCTTCTGTTGGAGAGCCCCAAGTGGAAATCACCAACTGTGGCCGTCTACTGTTCTGTGGCAGACATGGGGTGTCTCTGCAGAGAGGCAGGTTTATGTTTCGTTTTCCAGTCATCCTCCCATATGGGGTCTTGGTAAAGGTTTCTGGGGGCTTCCTTTTCAGTATCACTTTGTCCCTGGCACATTGTCTCTGTGCCTTGGCTATCTAAATTTGACTCACTCTGTGTTTTGACTTAAGGCTGTTGTGTGATTCCTGGCTCCTTAAGGTTTAGTGCCCAGCTTTGCCTCAACCTTCAAAATACTCATTCCCTAGGAAATTTCAACTCTTGGTCCTCAGCTAAATCAAAGCTGGCTCCTGATTCCAATTTATTCTGTAACATTCTTGCATCACAGCTCTGTCTTCTAGGTGCACAGCTGCCCTTGACCTTGTCTGACCCTGGCAACAAGAAGCTATAGAATTATAATGTCATTTCAGGTACTGTTTCTGGCTTTTTTTGAGGTTGCTGGAGTTATTCTGTGAGCATTTACCAAGCACCCACTGTACCCCAGGCAGTGTCACTTGTCAGAATGCTTAATCTCTTAAAGTAGAGCACACTTTCCTCCCCATCCTCTTCTCTCCCACACTTCCCTACTCAAAAATAAAAAACCCACAACTCCTAATCAACTACTGTCAGGTAAACATGAAATTGTAAACTTAACACTTGAGTGTCAGGTGCATTAATAGGAAAACTAAAAAATAAAATACCTAGGTTAGTAAATAGACAATGTCAATTGTATATACTGTGACTTATGGGGTAGGAATAGAGGTGTGGGACTTTAACACTAGATATGTGGTACCCAGAACTCTGAAAGTAAAATTCTTCACCATGTCTGTCTATTCATAACCCTCAGTTTACTGTTTGAGAAAAATAGATCTAAAGACATCTGTGAAAACATATATTTACATGAAAAAAAAGATGGAAATAGAATGTATAAACCTTGTAAGAGGGATAATGGGATTATAAGCAAAGCTTTGTTTTTCTTCCTATGCGTAGTTTTTTAATTATGTTGCTTTTAAAAATTTTTAAATGTCAGTCTGCAAACAGAATTTTCTTTGCTTGTTTCTACATGTACTGCTGTCTTTTCCTACCACTTTTTGTAGGAATTGTTATAATCAAAGGTTTCCCATACATACTATTCTCATCTATCTCTACCCAAAAGCCAAGCAATAGCACCTACTTGGCAAATTGTTTGGAGGTTCACAATTTCTTGAGGCTTAATCCTATTTGTTCTGGTCTTGGGGAAATGAAGATTTTGATAAAGTTATTTTTTACGTTGGTTGGGGTTTTTTTGTTTTTTTGTTTTTGTTTTTGTTTGTTTGAGGTGGAATCTCACTCTGTCGCCCAGGCTAGAGCACAGTTGAGTGATACTGACTCACTGCAACCTCCACATTCTGGGTTCAAGTGATCCTCCCACCTAAGCCTTCCAAGTAGCTGGGATTACAGGCATGTGCCATCACATCTGGCTAATTTTTTATATTTTTGTGCAGACAGGGTTTTACCATGTTTGCCAGGCAGGTCTTGAACTCCTGACCTTAAGCAATTCACCCATCTTGGTTGCCCAAAGTGCTGCGATTATAGGTGTGAGCCACAGCACCTGGCCTGATTGTTTTAAGTGTTTTCCCATAGAATCATTGAACTATGTGGACTTTAAGTTCCCAGTCTGGACCAGAAAAACCTATTTAACAGAAAATATATCCAAAATGTAGAAACCAAAAAACTATGGAACTTAAAAAAATATATGTAAAACACCAGGAATGTGTTAGAAATCCAAAGTAGGGTGCCAGGAACACATCGTGGTGTTCCTTGTGGCCTGGCAGCAGGAATGGGGACTGGCCTCAGCTCCTTTGCACACCACATGATGGTTTCCCAGATGCCTTCAGCCTCATGCCACTGTCAAGAGAGGCTTTCCCAGTACTGGGTTGAGGTTTGAGATGAGGAACAGGATCAGGTATGAGGAGCAGAACTGAGAGTTGAGAGATGAAGGAGAAGGTACACAGGGCAGGGAAGGCAGGGAGCAGAACATTGGTGGGCCTGCTTCTTTCTACATCCCCACCTCAGGGCTGCTGACCAGCCCCCGACTGGCATCAGGAGAAGCATCAGCCAGGGACGCTTTCTTTGTCTCTCTACTTTTTAGACTGATAAGTTACAGGAGACCCTCCCTGCCTTTAATCAAAACTGAGGTAACGTGAAACTATGAAATGGAGTCTTCTGCCTCCTAGTTTTAGGCAGTAGCATTATCTGTAGTCGTTGGGAAGCATTCCAGTTGTGAGCTGTGGAGGCAAGCACTTATATATGGTAATTGGACCCTTTCCTAGTGAGTAAGAGATGGAGCCCTGCGGAAGCTCCTTCTGGTGGTGAAGATTCTAGATCATTCTTGACCAGGGAGCATGTCCACCCTGGTTGTATAGCTCCAGGGAGAGGATACTACCTGAAGGCATCATCCGCAGTTGCTCATCCATTGCACTTAGGAAAGTCTTTATATGGAAATGAAAAATGCTTTCTGGAAAATTCATTTCTCTGTGCTAGTTCTGTCTTCTGTTAGTCTTATACAATTAAGCTAATCTTTTTGCATTCTCTTATCCAAGTTGCTTGCAAAGAAAAATGTTAAGCCAACCTTGATTCCATGAGGAATTCATTATTTACACTCTTCACCTGAGTCTCTTGCTGGGTCTCTTCCACCACTTTGTTAATAAGTACAAGTTAAGTATAGGTCCTAAACCTCCCCCTAGTCCAGTGTGCAACTATTTACCAATAGAAAAATAATGGAATGTGTAGGAGGGAACCCTAGATAGCAGTATTTTTTCTTATTCTCGAAGAATATAGAGAATATTATATCTCATTTAAAATGATACAACATTTGGTTGGTTGGTTTATTTTCAATTTATTAATGTGCTACAACCTTTGTTTCATTAGTTTTGGCAGTAGTTAGATTATGCTATTTTTAAAACCTCTAAAAATATTAAACCTCAGGAATACTCAGTATTTCCCTGATTTAGACCAGGTTTGCCAGTGTTTTCTACCCATGGAAAGCTTTGGATTTTGGTTTTCAAGTCTCTCTTAATCAGAATACTATTTGGAGTATTCTTCCAGTGCTACCGCTGTTACTAATAAATCATAGCAGCATAGACCTAAGAGAGGCCTTTGAGACTTTCCCCCTAGGGCCCTCTTTTACTGAGAAAAAGCTGAGGCAAGGAGTATCCAGAACTGGCTGGAGGAGGTGGAGCTGAGGGCTGGCCTCCTCACTGATTGTCCGTTGTGCTTTCCACTGGATTGCATGTCCTCCTAAATGGATTTTAATCTCATAGTTACTTCAGACAGTGAACAGACTTTTGCCTGGAAAAGCCTATGTAAGGAGTTTTGGCCAAGCTCTCAAAACAGTTCATAACAGAACTGGAAATATAGCTTAAGAAGCACATAAGCTCTCATTTTTCCACTTAACTGGTCTTAAACTTAGAATGAAAAGTTTGTGAGGGTAATGGTATTTCCTCTCAGACAGTATTATTAAGTAAATAAGTCACTTTACTTTTAAATCTCATGTTTAAAGGCCCGCTTGAACTTTTCCCCTTGGTTTAAGTATGCCTATCAGTTCACAGGTACCAGTAGCAAATTTCAGTATATAAATGTGATATAACATACCCCACATATCTCACAGAAGAAATCCAAACCAAATTCAGATATAATCAAGGCACAGCTTTGTAAGCTAACACATAAAAGTCCAAGCATGCATTTGGAAACTTTTCCACAGTACCATTTGTTCATGGATGCTGATATGTTTAAAGATAGCACTTTCTTTAAAAAGTTAATTCCTTAAAATTAACTAATTTTAGCTTAGAAGTAAAACTGTCATTCTGACTAAGCATTCTGGCTTTTTCCTTTTATACTAATGTTGCCCTTCATCAATTTTTCCATATCTCTAGCAACCAAGCTACTGTCTTAAAAAACAAAATCTCCTCCCTCTCCATTTTTGTGATGTTTCCCCCAGCACCTCAAGACTTGTGCTTGTAAAGTTAATCGTGTTTGTCTCAAACCTTGGATCAGTTATTGGAATATTTGTTTTTAATTGAGCAGTTAGTTGTAACAGAAGACTATATATCCTCTATTCTTTCTACTACTACACTGTACTCCTTAATGCCAAAAAAAAAAACTTAAAAACATCAGGATCCTTTTATGTGTGGGGGGTTTGTGATCTATCTATTTATCAATCTATCTTTCTTTCTTTCCTTCCTTCCTTCCTTTTTTCTTTCCTTCCTTCCTTCTTTCTTTTTTTTTTAACAACTTGGTGATTCTTGGAGGGATTAAAGAAAAAAACCTTCATTTTGAGGGAAATATAACCCCCTCAGGTTCTTTATGACTCAGTCTCTACACCATGTGGCCACTGTTTCTTGGCTGTCACAACTCTGAATAGATTAACATGAAAGAATGCTACACTCTATTTAGATTACTAAGGAGTAGAATATTGAATACATTGCTTAATTTTTTTAATCTACAATTTTAATCAGAAATTTACTTTGAGACAAAGGAAATCTTTGAAAGTGTTAAATTCTGACTGTACACGTGCTGTGAAAATTTCCTAATCTTTCATATTGAATATGGTGTTAGTTAAATTATTGCTGATAAGTATTCTTTCTTAGAATTGTATAGATTTCCATTTTAACTTTTCAGTGCCATTTCATTATAATAAGGAAGACATTTATCAAGGAAAAATATGAATATTCAAATGTATAAGTAAAAATGACATTTCATTAGTTCACACATTCAAAATACACATTAGAAAATATCATTTTAAATGCTGAAAAACATATTTACGATTTCATTTTTTTATTTCAGCAGAACTGCCAGAAGATATATTTACTGTTTCATTTAATATAGCTGTGATATCCCCAAACTTCATTAATTATTATAGCAATGTTATTTTCCTAGATGAACATAAAAGATATTTATTTAAATGATTCTTAAAATCAATCATGTTAACATTTATGGTGAAGCATAATGACAGGTTTTCACTTAGCTGAAAAAAAGTCACATAATTATAGTTAACATAAATTCATTATAGATAAAACTAGAACAATTTTAGGTACAAATTTAGGTTTGTATTTAAATGCTGATTTTTAAGAAATTATAGAAATAAGCTTTGGACTTTATCATATTATTTATAAGCATTTGTTTATAACATTAATGACTCCTTAGGATTGACTATAAAGTAATTATACATTGGTACATGTAAGATAGACATGAAACATACCTGTCAGAAGAGAGTAGTCCTCTTAAAAGTAGAAGTTATCCACCATGTACTAGTTATCTATAATGTAAATGTTCTCAGGAACTGTGTAAGAAGAAAAGATGAGGAGATATTACGTTTAAAAGAAAAAAACACCTTTCAACACAGTCCTGGTATAGCTGTACCCTGGGTGATACTAGAATAAACTGCTTCCACAGATTAGTCCATGTTAGTACTGTGGAGCGAGATTAAAACTTGTTACTGCTCATGTGTTTTCCATCACTGTTTGTATCGTAGCCAAGACTTCTAGCTAAACTCTAGACGTCTACTGGAAGATTCTGAAGAAAAAAAAAAGAAAGTTTAATAATGCATGGCAACTGGCCATTGAAAGTGCAGTCAGAATCATTCAAGAAATACCTAGTTTTAAAAATACTTTATAAGAATCTTAAGTGAATGAATATTTATAAATTACGATTTCAAAAATTACTCAATCTGGATAGACTAATAAAATATTTATCGATCTGAGTAAAGGATACCAACATTACTGAAGTATATACCCAGACTCCGGATGTACCTGACAAAGAACCATGCCTTTATTTTCTTCTAATGACTGTAGCTATTGCATTATGCATACTTCTTCAGACTTTTTTTTAAAGCTTTTAGCACTGCTATAGGCTTGTCAGGGAAACTACAGACCAGGCTCCATGAACTGCTCCCTGGACTCAACATATATGATACAATGCAGACACACATGCATGTCATGTAACACCCTCTTAGGATGCATACAACTTTCCTTTTTCAAGAAAATATTAGCCGTGGCCTCACTGACATTTAGGGAGACTTAGAGCAGAAAAGATGCTATTCGCTGAAAAGAATTATTAGTACCCCTTTTTCCACTCATCCCCAAAAGATGATTGGCCAATTCTACATCAACTAAAACCTTCAAGAAAGGACAGTTTTCTAACCCTAGTGGCAAAGCCTCACTGTTGTAAGTGACCCCAATGGATCTTCCCAACTCTTGTGTAGATTTGGAGACCACCAAAGAGCTCTTCCATTGGTTAGCAGAGTTGTTCTCTCCTGTCATCAAGAATTTGACCATGGTTTGTTCCCTTTCTCCAGAGAAATGGCACACATTGTTAAGCAAAGCAGCTATATAGTCCTAAAGAATACATTTGCCTCAGATGTGCATAGCAGCTGGCCATGTGTGTTCCGCCTCCCCTCACTTAAATAAAATACTCCTCCTTGGACCTCTAGGCTGACAGTCCCAGGCAGCTCAGTAGTCCCATTAGTGGCCATCAGTATAGTTCAGGCCTCATCCTATCCCTGCAGCACCTGAGGGAATGACAGCCCTCCTGTTTGGTTTAGAATGCTCATATTCTCATTTATTCAAGTATATTTTCATTGCAAATGTATTTGTTAATTGTATGAATTGGGAACATAATGAAAATATGAACTGGATTTTTAAAATCTTTGTATCCAGAGCATCTAGTGTTTGCCTAAATTCCTTCAGAACACAGTCATAAACAGGAAGCCCTTGGGTCAAATTCAGTTTGTCCTGCACAATGGTTTGTTTTTGAACTGTTTATTGAAGTGTATGTTACCAAAAAAAAAACCCCATATCATAATGGTACAACTCAATTAATTTTTACAAAATGACCCCAATTAAGGAATTCCAGCACTCCAAAATCCCTCCTCGTACTCCAAATCACAGCCTGAGGTCAGCACCATAGCTTATTTCCTGAACATTATGTAAATGGCATTCTGTGCATTCTGTTTTGTGTCTGGCTTTTTTCATTCAGTGACATGGTTTTGAGATCCATCCATGTCATTGTGGTACATGGTAGTTCATTCTCATTACTGTATAGTATTCTCATATATGAATAAGCCATGAATTGTTTATATATTCAACTAGGTTAAATACCTTTTGGAGAGCAATTATGAATGTTCCTCAATCTATCATTTGGGGGTCATATGTATGTATTTTTGTTAGATGAAACTGTTATATTTAAAAATCATAAGATTTCAACTTCTTTTAAAAAAAATCAGTCTTTGCCAGTCTGTGATTTCTAGTTTTACATGGCAACTGTTGTGTTTGGGACATATGTTTTTCAATTATCTGCTCACAAGATGTTGTCCACGTCACCTACCCAGGACACTCCTCAGTTGAGTTGCCTGCATGGCCTTTCTGGGTGCAGTTTGCTACCTATGTCTAGAGAGATGGGAAGCAGTTCCTATAAGATTATGTTTCTAGGCTGAGCGCGGTGGCTCAAGACTGTAATCCCAGCACTTTGGGAGGCCGAGGCGGGTGGATCACGAGGTCAAGAGATCAAGACCATCCTGGTCAACATGGTGAAACCCCGTCTCTACTAAAAATATAAAAAATTGGCTGGGCATGGTGGCACGTGCCTGTAATCCCAGCTACTCGGGAGGCTGAGGCGGGAGAATTGCCTGAATCCAGGAGGAAGAGGTTGCGGTGAGCCGAGATCGCGCCATTGCACTCCAGCCTGGGTAACAAGAGTGAAACTCTGTCTCAAAAAAAAAAAAAAAAGATTGTGTTTCTGAAGATATGTTACAGCTACTTTCCTTCTCCCCACTGTGAGACTTAAGCTAGTTTTCCTCTGATATTTTGCTTTGATCTTTGGTCAGAGGGCCTAGGGAAAGAAATAGGCCCTGGAATAAGATGCTGAGGTTAAGGGTAGTATATTTGGCTTATTCATTCTGTTCTGCAGATAATGTGATAGAGGTGCGGACCTCAGGCCCAACCCTCCACAGTCTTGGGGCTGTGGCATGGAAAGCTTTGCCTCATATTTGCCAGAGATGGTGCAGCAAGCATGAACACATCATCTTGGAAGAAACTGGAGTTTATCCCCACCCTTTTCCAGGTTATTATTCCAAACAAAACAGTACACCTCTTCTTCCCTTAAGTATTATGAGGAGAAAAATCTTCCATTGTTGTTTCTTAAAGGGATCCTATGGAGGGGACCTAGTTCTTTTCTCCATGCTTTTTTGTTGTTTGTTATTTTTATTGTTTGATTTTTGCCTTATTGAGCCTTGGTCTAAATATTGAAGAAATAGTTGCATTATAACAATATCTTTAAAAATCACAAATAATCTATACTATGTTGCAAACACAAATTACAAAACTGAAAAAGTAATATTCTCGGTACTGATAGTTTATGAATAAAAATATTGATTGCCATAAAAGGAACTTCAGTGCAAATTTATTTTCCTTTGGACTTATATAATTTTTTTTTGTTGTTGTTGTTAATCAATGAGCGCTTGTAACGTTGCTCAGGTTGGCCTTGAACTCATGGCCTCGCCTCCTCAAGTGCCAGGACAACTGGCTGGAGCAACCGCGTTCCCCATAGACTTATATAATTCTAACCATTGTGAAAATAAAAATAAATAGCCTAATCTAAGCCCTCATATAATTTCTTACAATCTTTCCAGAACTTCTCCTGGTCTAAATATGGACAGCAGTGGTCAAAGTCCAAACACAAATAAGAACAGGAGAGGACCTTGGAAACTGTCTCATGCAAATAAAAGATTAATTGACAGACTCTCACTCTGTCACCCAGGCTTAAGTGCAGTGGTACAATCATAGCTCAAACTCCTGGGCTCAAGCGATTCTCCTACCTCGACCTCCCAAAGTTCTGAGATTACAAGTGTGAACCACCTGCACGCAGCCCAGATGAAAAGGTTTGATAGGTGAGGCAGGAGTTATAGGTGCAGTGTGTGTCGGGGATACATTGTGGGGCACACACACACCTGCCAAAACATAGGCAGTTTGAATTTTCTGATGTTCTTTTGCCAGTCTTTGGTGTCCTTCACATTCTAAATGAATTGGAATAAATCGTACAATGTTCTCTTGCAGTAATAGCTACAAGGAAGGCTGTCCACCCATCAATTCATTCAACAAATAGTGTAAGTGCTATGGAGAGAAGCAGGATGGGGGTGGGGGCTGTAAGGGAGTTAGCTGTGCCATGCAAACACCCACTTTAAGAATATTCTAGGCCATTGAATTCTAGGACGTAAGTATGCATAATACAGGGTTTTTCATAGAGTAGATGCTTAGAAAAGCTTCTTTGAAGGGATAGATGATTAAGATTTCATGGGTTTTAATGTTCGAATGTCCCTCATGGTAGACTAGGCACTTTGATTTCTAATGAATTTATTTTATACTGTACATTGTGACCCATGGGCAGTATTCAGCCTGCAGATTTTTCAAAGTGTATAGTATTTTATAAAACCAGGAAATTTGATGTCAAAATCCAAATTTACCATGTATTTTGAAAAATATGAGCTGGAAAAGCTAACCCTAACATCCTGTGTGGCAGCAATTTGCTGAGCATGTAGGCCCTTCATAGTTCTCTGCTGCCCTGACCTTCTCTTAGCCTCTCTTCACAGCCCTTCTGTGCAGGGACTGGCTTCTGCTATGTCATGTGGTTGAGCTCACTCTGTCATCATGCTTGAAGTTTCTAGTTCTGAAAAATGAATTGTTACAAATTGTCACTGAGCATTCATTCAGTTGAATTTATGAAAAATGAAGGACTTACACAATTTCATTTATTATATTTTATGTGTCGATTTTTTTTTTTTTTTTTTTTTGAGACAGAGTCTTGCTATGTAGCCCAGGCTAGAGTGCAGTGGCACAATCTTGGCTCATTGCAACCTCCACCTCCTGGCTAATTTTTGTATTTTTAGTAGAGATGGGGTTTCACCATGTTAGCCAGGCTGGTCTAAAACTCCTGACCTCAGGTGATCCACCTGCTGCAGCCTCTCAAAGTGCTAGGATTACAGACGTGAGACACCGTGCCCTACTGTGTCAAATATTTTTAACAAATGTCTGAAGTCAGTTTGCTTTGAGCAATCTGTACAAGTAATGGTTTTGTTCTAAATAAATTTCTTGCTTCTTTCCAATGAGCAGACCTGAGAGCAGTAAGCACATCTAGCTTCCAGATCTCTGTTTCTAAATACTGTTTCCCAATAAGGGAACCAGGACTCCTGGGAGAAATGGCCCATAACAAGTCTGGGCCAGAGAAATATAAGGTGTCTGAAAAAGCTTCTTGTACCAGTAAGTGTGAAAGTGTGGAGAGTTTACCAAGGACTCAGGAAAGGACCATAGAAACCACCACGAAGGGGCAGTTTGATGATCCAAAGAATAAATGACAGTGAATTATAACACATACGATACTAAATCCTTTTTATAATAACAGAAAAGTGAGTTAAAAGGATCAGAGTTTTTTCTTACAGAAGAATGTCAACTAATGAATGCAAAAGGAATAACAGAAAATCAC